TATGCACTGACATGCACTGAAAATGCAACAATCCTATGCAAGGAATCCTCACCGACCCCAATTCTCATCCTCCTCTTGCTGAGGAAGTCAATCAATAATCCTGTGACCAGCACTACTGACTCTTTGGCCCAAGGAGACCATGGTACTCTTTTCTTTGCCAGTTGGCACCCTCTGCTGGCAAGACAACGGGAATGCAAAATTACCAAAAGAGTGATCCTCCGTTGGGCACGCTGCCCCCTCCCCCACCGTCTCTGTTCTTGGGCTTGTCATGTTTTTGGCAGTGCTCAAAAACCTAAAAGCCGCCCACAGTCAGGAATAATAAAAGGCAAAAGGAAAGAATGCACCTATCATGCTGCCATAAAGAGATACGGCTCATCTTCAATGGGGCAGCAGGATCTATGGGTACAATTCGGTTTTCATTCAAACCGCAGTCAGCACAATGGCACGTCCTGCATCTTGCTGCTCTCCTACAACCCACCCCATGGCCAAATGGGCCGCAGCATAACTGCCCTCCACAGAGGGATCCAGCGACACTCTCCTCATCTCAGTAAGTCCAACATCATGCGGTGAGCCCTGTTCCCCAGTGGGTGAACCCTAAAGCGATCCTTTCTTGGGCCCAGCTGTAGGGTCGCCTTTCTGGTGTATCAGAATAGACCTCTGGGCTAACGGTATGATGGTCTGCATTGTTGATGTCTCATCCTGTTTGAGAAGTGTGTTTTGTTCATGCACTGCAAGGCAACACTTCTGGCTCTGGAGGCTTGCAAAAGTCTGCAGATTACTCCTACCCCTTCTGCAAACCCTTCTCCCCTGGGCCCTCCCCAGCAGCTACCCCTCAAGAGGATCCCTGCTATCATGAATCACTGACTGGAGAGAGATCCGTGATCTCCCCTCCCTCTCCTTGACAGGGTAGAGGAGAGTCCTCAGTGGAAGCTCTGGAGAGAAAAGCTTCACTTGGCCCATTGCCTGGAGACCCAATGATGCCAGGGATGCATCCAGACTGTGGCAGGCTGGGCAATCCCACATCCCCACGAATACAGTTTTCCTGTGATAATATAGCCCAAAGCAAGTACAATTCAGGGGCCACCTCTTCAGAGGGGGAGGAAGTACATATGCTTCCCTCTTCCACTGAGAGGAAAGGGACTGGACGGTCCACTCTGGCTGGACTCTGGTCCATTCAGATGAGTGGAAAAGCAGCAGCTCCTACCTTACAGAATTTTGCCCACGAAATAAGGCCCTCTGGAGTGCATCCACCACCTAAAAGAAATAAGTTTGTCTCTTAGTGACTTCTCAGATAGTCAGTAATCATTTAGGTTTATGGTTCTAGGAATGACACAAGAAAACAAGCAAACTGTCCGGCCTCAGCGTACAAAAGCGCAGTCTAAAAACCACTGTTTTTATTATAGTTGTTCAGGAACAAAGGCTGACGAATGAGCTCCGGAAAAAGAATGGTTTGGCAGCAACATACAAAAGGGCACATCTGTTGCCAGACACAGATGAGGACATTTCTCTTGGTGGGCCAGAACTTTTCAGACTCTTTCGGCCAATGTGGTGAACAGGGCACTTCCGGGAGTTGTGCTCCAGAAAGGGACATTTCCCAAGTTCAGCTGCGTGGCCTGGGCTCGCCGGATGCTCCCAGTTTACACAAGGATGTTGGCCAGATGTTAACATTCAAATGTCTGCTTCTGCTTCCTGGCTGCTGAAGAGTTCATCCCCGCCCCCGCCCCCCAAATCGGTTTGGTTTTGTCTCCACTTCCTTCCCTGCCGTCATGTGGGTTTTAATAATAATTTAGAAATTATTTGCTACTGTGCAAAGGATTTCTTTTCCCTCTTAGTCTCTAGTTCTTAGATGTACACTGACTTTCTAGTTTGCTATATTTATTTTATTTTAAAATCTTGTTGTCAGGCTAAGGCAGAAAAAAAGGCAATGCTGATTCATTCAAACATAATCATAAAACATATCCATTAAAAAGATTATTTTCTGCCTTAACAGGGGAAAGAACTCAGTGAACACTGGGGTTCTCCTCCAGCTCTACAATTCTGGGATTCTAAAACCAATACCTTCCTTCATTTGTTAAAATATTCTGCAACCATTTTTCTACCCAAACGCTGCCTGGTAAAACAGAGCTAACACACTGTTTACAACACATTGTTTAGTTCCATATTACTGGGTGGCTTTAGGGTGGAAAGATGATACCAAAGTATTTTTAAAAAATAAGGTACTTGTTTTAGAATAACACAAACTAGGAAAACAGGCCCTGTGGCCAAATCTGGCCCTTTCAAGATCCCAAGCAAGGTTCTCACTGGTTGCTCCCTCCCCCATGCTACCACTGTTTGGTGGTTCTTCTGTATTTGCAGTGACCTTTTGCCACTCTAAAACAGCAAAATATCTCTAAGGATGGCTCAGCTACTAGAAGACACTCTAAGGTAAATATGGCAGTATTTTTTGATCCCAGCCTTTGGCCTCAACCTCCACTGCAATGTGTCCCCAAGAACCTCTCCGGCACTGAAGGTGGTCCTCAGGTGGAAAGAGGTCCCCCATCTGAAGAGCCTACCTGAAGCTAGGAAAAGATGGAGTGCAATTTATTTGTATTTGTGTACTACAAGCCCCAAAATTCTCCAAGAATCGCCCAATTGTATTCTGAAAATGTCAGCCCACAAACACAATCTGAAAAAAAAAGCCACCATGGTGCTCTGGTTACTTAACTCCAGTAGTGATTTCGGTTCCTCCTAGGAGACATAGTTCTTTAGGAGGCATCATCCATTGAGCTTAATGGGCAGCAAAACTACAACTCCCAACATCCTCCACAACCAGGAGGCCCAGCCCTGCTGGTCGGTCATGTGACAATGAGTATTGACCAACCAGGCAGAGGTCATTGCTAGTTCTGTTCTCACTGCCCATTAGGCACTACAAAGGGTGCCCCTTTAAGAACTATTACTTCCAGGAAGTACATCGGCCAGGAGGAAGAGACGAGAAGTAATGAAGTCAGCATCAGAGGTCAATAACCCAAAAGCCTTCTCTAGGGGGACAAAATCCAGAATCTCTGGATTTGCGTTTGTGAGCATTCTAGCATTCCGCCTATGGAATTCTTAAGAGAATTCTGGGGGTTGAAGTCCAAATACACGGAAGAGAGCACTGCTAATCAATGTGACCTCCTTGGACAAAGTGTTCCAGCATCAATAATGTGCTTAGCAGACGCCGAGAATGGCAGGATAGAAAGAGCATTCTGGGATACAACAAAATTAGGAAGCTGGGGGACCCAAGGGCCAAAATCGCGCAAGCTCTGACTCTGACCATGCGCGCTCAGAGAGGGCTGCATGCAACACAACTCTCCAAGAAGACACATTATGGCAAACTAGAAGCATCTCCAGTGGAAGAAATCACATGACTGCCTGCAGTTATTTGATAAAAGGGAGAAAGCCACGAGCAGGAGCCAAGGACCATTTTGTAAACACCACCTACCCAGCAGCTTCTCCCCCAGCATCATCAGCTGGCAGAATTCTGGGAGTTTCAGCCCACAAAACACACACCTACCTCCAGGGCTGCATTACCTTCTTTGGCCTTTGCTTCCTGTTGTCAATTCAAAAGGGAAAAAGGATGCTACCATGAGAGTCATCGTTCTCTTGGAGGTGGCAGCAGATCCGGTTGATCTCCTGAAGAACTACGACTCCCCAGGAAGCACCCTGGCTGCTTTCCTTTTTTGAAAAAATACTGTTTAACAATAGGAAGAAAAGCCTGAGAAGCCAATGCAACCCTCGAGGTAGGCCTTTCTCTAGGAGAGTGAAACATTGGCATCTGTAGGTGTGCGAGAACTCCCAAAATCTGCCTGCAGAATTCCTGAAGTCGAAAAAAAAGACAAAAGCCTGTCTCACAGCCACAAATACTGGCACTCCCAAGCCAACTATACCAGAGCACAGAGTGCTGTCCTCTGAAGATGCTGGCCACAGAGACTGGCGAAACATTAGGAAGAACAACCTTCAGAACACGGCCAAAGAGCCCGAAAAACCCACAACAACCATTAGATCCCGGCCGTGAAAGCCTTCGCGAATACATTATATGATTATATTTCAGACTCAAACACCCTGTCAGAGTGCTTCCTCAGGAGTTGTAGTTCTTCAGGAAGCCACTCACATCTTCTGCCACCTCCCAGAGAACTATGACTCTGATTACAGCATAATTTTTTCTTTGTAATTGACAACATCCAGCAATTTAGGGGTGCACCATTTCATCCACTAGTGGGCATGAAAAGCCCACCCTAACTGCCACGCAATAGTGTGATGGTGTTGGATATTGTTATGCACTGACATGCACTGAAAATGCAACAATCCTATGCAAGGCATCCTCACCGACCCCAATTCTCATCCTCCTCTTGCTGAGGAAGTCAATCAATAATCCTGTGACCAGCACCTCTGACTCTTTGGCCCAAGGAGACCATGGTACTCTTTTCTTTGCCAGTTGGCACCCTCTGCTGGCAGACAACGGGAATGCAAAATTACCAAAAAAGAGAAATTTGTTCCTTGGTCAAACAAATGATCCTCTGTTGGGCACGCTGCCCCCTCCCCCACCGTCTCTGTTCTTGGGCTTGTCATGTTTTTGGTAGTGGTCAAAAACCTAAAAGCCGCCCAAAGTCAGGAATAATAAAAGGCAAAAGGAAAGAATGCACCTATCATGCTGGCATAAAGAGATACAGCTCATCTTCAATGAGGCAGCAGGATCTATGGGTACAACTCAGTTTTCATTCACACCACAGTCAGCACAATGGCATGTCCTGCATCTTGCTGCTCTCCTACAACCCACCCCACGGCGAAATGGGCCGCAGCATGACTGCCTTCCACAGAGGGATCCAGCGACACTCTCCTCATCCCAGTAAGTCCAACATCCTGCGGTGAGCCCTGTTCCCCAGTGGGTGAACCCTAAAGCGATCCTTTCTTGGGCCCAGCTGTAGGGTCGCCTTTCTGGTGTATCAGAATAGACCTCTGGGCTAACGGTATGATGGTCTGCATTGTTGATGTCTCATCCTGTTTGAGAAGTGTGTTTTGTTCATGCACTGCAAGGCAACACTTCTGGCTCTGGAGGCTTGCAAAAGTCTGCAGATTACTCCTACCCCTTCTGCAAACCCTTCTCCCCTGGGCCCTCCCCACCAGCTACCCCTCAAGAGGATCCTTGCTATCACGGATCACTGACTGGAGAGAGATCTGTGATCTCCCCTCCCTCTCCTTGAGAGGGTAGAGAAGAGTCCTCTGTGGAAGCTCTGGAGAGAAAAGCTTCACTTGGCACATGGCCTGGAGACCCAACAATGCCAGGGATGCAGCCATGCTCCCAGACATCATCCAGACTGTGGCAGGCTGGGCAATCCCACATCCCCACGACTGCAGTTTTCCTGTGATAATACAGCCCAAAGCAAGTACAATTTAGGGGCCCCCTCTTCAGAGAGGGAGGAACTACATATGCTTCCCTCTTCCACTGAGAAGAAAGGGACTAGACAGTCCACCCTGGCCAGACTCTGGCCCATTCAGATGAGTGGAAAAGCAGCAGCTCCTACCTTACAGAATTTTGCCCACGAAATAAGGCCCTCTGGAGTGCATCCACCACCTAAAAGAAATAAGTTTGTCTCTTAGTGACTTCTCAGATAGTCAGTAATCATTTAGGTTTATGGTTCTAGGAATGACACAAGAAAACAAGCAAACTGTCCGGCCTCAGCGTACAAAAGTGCAATCTAAAAAAAAAATGTTTTTATTACAGTTGTTCAGGAACAAAGGCTGTCGAATGAGCTCCGGGAAAAGAATGGTTTGGCAGGAACATATAAAAGGGCACATCTGTTGCCAGACACAGATGAGGACATTTCTCTTGGTGGGCCAGAACTTTTCAGACTCTTTCGGCCAATGTGGTGAACAGGGCACTTCCGGGAGTTGTGCTCCAGAAAGGGACATTTCCCAAGTTCAGCTGCGTGGCCTGGGCTCGCCGGATGCTCCCAGTTTACACAAGGATGTTGGCCAGATGTTAACATTCAAATGTCTGCTTCTGCTTCCTGGCTGCTGAAGAGTTCATCCCCCCCCAAAAAAAATCTGTTTGGTTTTGTCTCCACTTCCTTCCCTGCCATCATGTAGGTTTGAATAATAATTTTAATATTCTTTGCTACTGTGCAAAGGATTTCTTTTCCCTCTTATTCTCTAGTTTGTAGATTTTCACTGACTTTCTAGTTCGCTATATTTATCTTATTTTAAAATCTTGTTGTCAGGCTAAGACAGAAAAAAGGTGATGCAGATTCATTCAAGCGTAATCATAAAATGTATCTATCAAAAAGATTATTTCCTGGCTTGACAGGGGAATACAGTGGTGCCTCGCATAGCGATCGCTCCGTTTTACAGCGAAATCGCTTTGCGATGCTGTTTTTGCGATCACAAAAGCGATTGCTTTGCAATGGCCCCTATGGGGAAAATTCGCTTTGCAATGATCGCAAAGCCCCCATTTTCGGCCAGCTGATCAGCAGTTCCAAAATGGCCGCCGGGTAAACAAAATGGCTGCCCACTGTTTTGCCTCGCTTTAGAGGCACCGAAAATGGCCGCCGCAATGGAGGATTTTCGCTTAAGGTTAGTTTTGAAGCCCATAGGAACACATTAAACGCGTTTTAATGCGTTTCTATGGGCTTTTTAAAATCGCTTAGCAATGAAATCGCTTAGCAGCGATTTTTGCTGCACCGATTAACATCGCTAAGTGAGGCATCGCTAAGTGAGGCACCACTGTACTGTGAACACTGGGGCTCTCCTCCAGCTCTACAATTCTGCGATTCTAAAACCAATACTTTCCTTCATTTGTTAAAATATTCTGGAACCATTTTTCTACCCAAAGGCTGCCTGGTAAAACAGAGCTAACACACTGTTTACAACACATTGTTTAGTTCCATATTACTGGGTGGCTTTAGGGTGGAAAGATGATACCAAAGTATTTTTAAAAAATAAGGTACTTGTTTTAGAATAACACAAACTAGGAAAACAGGCCCTGTGGCCAAATCTGGCCCTTTCAAGATCCCAAGCAAGGTTCTCACTGGTTGCTCCCTCCCCCATGCTACCACTGTTTGGTGGTTCTTCTGTATTTGCAGTGACCTTTTGCCACTCTAAAACAGCAAAATATCTCTAAGGATGGCTCAGCTACTAGAAGACACTCTAAGGTAAATATGGCAGTATTTTTTGATCCCAGCCTTTGGCCTCAACCTCCACTGCAATGTGTCCCCAAGAACCTCTCCGGCACTGAACATGGTCCTCAGGCGGAAAGAGGTTCCCCATCTGAAGAGCCTACCTGAAGCTAGGAAAAGATGGAGTGCAATTTATTTGTATTTGTGTACTACAAGCCCCAAAATTCTCCAAGAATCGCCCAATTGTATTCTGAAAATGTCAGCCCACAAACACAAACTGAAAAAAAAGCCACCATGGTGCTCTGGTTACTTAACTCCAATAGTGATTTCGGTTCCTCCTAGGAGACATAGTTCTTTAGGAGGCATCATCCATTGAGCTTAATGGGCAGCAAAACTACAACTCCCAACATCCTCCACAACCAGGAGGCCCAGCCCTGCTGGTCGGTCATGTGACAATGAGTATTGACCAACCAGGCAGAGGTCATTGCTAGTTCTGTTCTCACTGCCCATTAGGCACTACAAAGGGTGCCCCTTTAAGAACTATTACTTCCAGGAAGTACATCGGCCAGGAGGAAGAGACGAGAAGTAATGAAGTCAGCATCAGAGGTCAATAACCCAAAAGCCTTCTCTAGGGGGACAAAATCCAGAATCTGTGGATTTGTGTTTGTGAGCATTCTAGCATTCTGCCTATGGAATCCTTACAGAATTCTGGGGGTTGAAGTCCAAACACACGTAAGAGAGCGCTGCTAGTCAATGTGACCTCCTTGGAGAAGGTGTTCCACCATCAATAATGTGCTTAGCAGATGCCGAGAATGGCAGGATAGAAAGAGCATTCTGGGATACAACAAAATTAGGAAGCTGGGGGACCCAAGGGCCAAAATCGCGCAAGCTCTGACTCTGACCATGCGCGCTCAGAGAGGGCTGCATGCAACACAACTCTCCAAGAAGACACATTATGGCAAACTAGAAGCATCTCCAGTGGAAGAAATCACATGACTGCCTGCAGTTATTTGATAAAAGGGAGAAAGCCACGAGCAGAACACAAACTGAAAAAAAAGCCACCATGGTGCTCTGGTTACTTAACTCCAATAGTGATTTCGGTTCCTCCTAGGAGACATAGTTCTTTAGGAGGCATCATCCATTGAGCTTAATGGGCAGCAAAACTACAACTCCCAACATCCTCCACAACCAGGAGGCCCAGCCCTGCTGGTCGGTCATGTGACAATGAGTATTGACCAACCAGGCAGAGGTCATTGCTAGTTCTGTTCTCACTGCCCATTAGGCACTACAAAGGGTGCCCCTTTAAGAACTATTACTTCCAGGAAGTACATCGGCCAGGAGGAAGAGACGAGAAGTAATGAAGTCAGCATCAGAGGTCAATAACCCAAAAGCCTTCTCTAGGGGGACAAAATCCAGAATCTCTGGATTTGCGTTTGTGAGCATTCTAGCATTCCGCCTATGGAATTCTTAAGAGAATTCTGGGGGTTGAAGTCCAAATACACGGAAGAGAGCACTGCTAATCAATGTGACCTCCTTGGACAAAGTGTTCCAGCATCAATAATGTGCTTAGCAGACGCCGAGAATGGCAGGATAGAAAGAGCATTCTGGGATACAACAAAATTAGGAAGCTGGGGGACCCAAGGGCCAAAATCGCGCAAGCTCTGACTCTGACCATGCGCGCTCAGAGAGGGCTGCATGCAACACAACTCTCCAAGAAGACACATTATGGCAAACTAGAAGCATCTCCAGTGGAAGAAATCACATGACTGCCTGCAGTTATTTGATAAAAGGGAGAAAGCCACGAGCAGGAGCCAAGGACCATTTTGTAAACACCACCTACCCAGCAGCTTCTCCCCCAGCATCATCAGCTGATCAGCATTGAGACCCCTTTTGGTGACAGATGAAAACTGCCAACTCAGCACTTCGGAAAGCTGGCACCACTTCACACACGGAGGACTCAGGAAGAAGGATAAATTCTAAAAGGGGGAGGAGAATCGAAGAGAGAGAGAGGGGGGGAGATTTAGAACATGGATATTTACTGCCAGGGCACCATCTTCTTTCTTCAAAGATGCCTCCTCAGTCCTCCATCTTCCGTTTTCTCTCCAAGCAACTTTGACCTGGCTTGTATTACACTTGCATCCTAACTCTCATCTTTCCTTTCGTGAACTCAGGGGCTCTCCTCCTTACCTTCTCCTTCACAACACCCCATATGGGGTACATCAAGAGAAAAAAAGAGTGTGACTGGCCCCCAAGGTCACTCAGTGGATTTCGTGGCCAAGGGACGATGTGAACCAAGTTCCCAGCACTGAAACCAAGAGATAAAACAACACCCACTTTGTCTGAACTCTAATCAAGCTTTGTACCCTAAACTCTACTTTTCTGGTGCAGACAGTAACTCCCAGCATCCTCAGCCAGTAGCTCCATGTTTGACAAGAATGGGAACTGTAGTCTAACGCCAGGGAGCGTCAATACAAGGGTGGTGTGGCTTCTTAAGAGACCTTTGGACCTCCATCCATTATAAATAAGAAAAGCTATCAGGTCTTTTTTTGGGGACGGGATGACAATTCACACTATTTCTATTTCTTAAGTCATGTACTTATGGATTGTTTCCTAACTGGATGATAATCAGCAAACTCTTCAATTTGTTCCTCTCAGGTGAATATAACACACTGAAACCACCAAAACAAAATTCAACATAAGGTTATGTATCAGTCATTAAATAGGTCAGATATATTAAAATACAAAATTCAGAATCTCAGAAACAAATTTTCCTGGTACAATATAACCCTTCCCCCCCCCAAACCTACATCTAAAAACCTGGCTGCTCTTTTTGCCAACTTGTGATGGGTTGCTACAGAGAGTAAAACAGATTCCTCTTTTATTCTGCTGATGAAAATCATTTCATTAGCAGGACAGGCTTACTGGATACAACCCATAACTGGTCACTTAAAACATCCAAGATAGGTCTCAGCAGGTATGACGGAGTGTGAAGAACATAAAATGGAACTTTCTGTTTTTTTCCTTCAAGTTACAGAGATGAGTGGAAAATTACCTTGGGCTCATTAGTCAACATGTTATACCATAAAATGGATGCCCATCCACTCGGCAGCTGGCTGACGTTGGAAATCACAACAACAGGAAGGGAAGTGGTCTAGGCAAGAGAAGATCACATGGAAAAGCTGAGCAATTGCTTGAAATTATTAAAGATCCATTCAAAGATCCCGTTCCCCCCTCCCCCTGAAAAGCAAGATTAATTAGCCAGGGACTATGGGAGCCTCCAGTTGGAGGGCACCAGTTGTATTAATGACCAGTGATGAGAGTCGGAACCTTTTGCCTACCATGTGTTTTGGACCAAAAATCCCCACCCATGGGCTAGAGAATATGAACCAACTAATTCAAGTTACTTTTACACAAGAGGTTCTTTAAAAAAAAAGAATTGTGTATTTCTGGGGGAAAGGGATTGGAAGTAAATGTCAGAGACCTCAACTCTGTATCATTGCTTTAATCCTGAGACTGAAACACAAGCCTGTGTTTTAGCCCTAAACAGCTATCTCCAAGCTTGGGTTCCTAGATGCTGTTGGAACGCAGCTCCCATCATCCCTGGCTAGAGGCCGTGCTGGCCAGTGTTTCCAAGAATTTAAAGCTACCAACGTCTGGAGACCTGAAACCCAGCCCTGAAGCATCCCCCACCTTGCTTAACAAGCCAGGTCAACCTTCCTTTTCCTATATATATATATAAAATAAAAGGCATAAGAGCATGTTAGATGTTCAAAGAAGTCATTCCCCCGAACTCCCTCCCTTGTCGCTATACAAGCTGTCTCATGCAACTGGTCAACACTGTAACTCTCAAGGAGTACCAGCAGTGGCAGGTGGCACTGAGCGCTGCCAGTTCCCCACACCAGGTAAAAAGTACTCGCCCTTTATGCAAGTCAGCTCAGTTTGTCAAACCTCATGCCTGCGCATGGTACAGTCCTTCATGTATCATTACTACAATACTTTTTGCAGCCTTACAATCAGGCATGGGATTTTAAGGATTTTTTTTCTCCTGGAAATACACCACAATATACCAGGAATTCCGCCAGCTAGAATTCTAGCATGTGGTAAAAAAACCCAAGTCCTCACAGGACACGGATGGACACACACACACACACACACACACACGAGAGAGAGTCAATATACCAGGAACACACACACACACACACATGAGAGAGAGAGAGAGAGAGAGAGAGAGAGAGAGAGAGAGAGATTGTAGGTGAGACTTCAGGAGAACAAGGAATTGTGGGATTGGTAGTTTTTTTCTCTTTTTTGGAGAGCCATTATGTACAGAGTACGGCTGAGACTTCAGGAGAACACGGAATTGTGGAATTGATAGTTTTTCTTTGGAGAGCCATTATGTACAGAGTACGGCACTCAGCAATGAGAAAAGATTTCCACACAATGGGCACTATTAGGGAAGAAAAAGCAACAGCACACACAATCAACCTTGTACTGGAGTTACCAAGACTAACATGTGAACGGCGATGCTCAAGCTGCATTTGATTCTGGCAAGAGACATGAGGACCAACTCTATGACACATCCCACGGCTGGGACCCAGCTGGGCGTCAGGAGAGGACAATGTTCTGCCCACAAAATAATGCAGGGTCTCCTGAATGGACACATGGTGCCGCTTCCCAAATGGGGGTCCCCTTGTGGAAATCCTGTCCATGGTTCGCCTCAGCAGAGTCCCTGCCAAATTGATTTTAACTGTATCCTGAAGACAGATGGAACAGAGGCAGGGATCAAACAGGTAACTAGGTTCTGCTCCTGAGTAGCTTAAGAAAGAACACTGAAAGCTGCCTGAACTCACTTCTCCATCTAAACCGACACCCAGCTATTTTGACTGGTGGCTGCTCCCTCCAGGATCTCAGGCAGAAGTTTGATCCCATCCCTGCTTCTCTAACTGGATGTAAACCATCTGGGGGGTCTTCAGCAAGCAAGGAGAACAATAATCTGCTCTGTAAATTGCTGCAAAAATTAAAGATTAATCTGAAAAAGAATGGCTGTCAGGCAGCGAGGGTCCCATTCCAACGTTTCAAGCATCCCAAAGCAACATATTCATCAGGGGATGCTTCCTGGCCATCATTTCATACTCTGCACACACCACATAGTTTGCCACTTCCCCAAACTCCTCTGGCATCTGGGCAGAGCACAGAGATGAAAAACATCTTTCAAAAGCTCAACAAAAGTAGCCTTTCAGGAAAAGCATTCCCCCCTCCCGAAAATGTTGCAGATGTCTCTGTCTCTTTAAAAAGACTCACCTCCAGGTCAATGATTAGGCCATTTTGTTCCAAAGTTGTCTCAAAACAGATGGAATGAAGTTCTTCTGTCACTATGAGAGGACCCTGCAGTTGAATGAATGAATAAAGAGCTCCGTTTGGGGGCTTTTAAGCAAGCACAGGTATTTTAAAATCTTCATATATCACAATTGCTGTCTAAACTACCTAAGCAAGCACAACAGCCTTCTAGATGAAGAGGAAACCCTTACTCCCAATCAGATCTTGGGACAAGTTTTATTTTGGACTACAACCCCCAGAATGCCCAAGCCAAGATGGGCATGGTTATGAACATCAGCCAATTTAGCCCAAAACAGTAAATTACCCAAGACCTCATCCTCTTACCCTCATGGACAATAATCCATGGGAGGGGGTAATCAATTATGAATGAGTGAGGTTTTGATCAACCATGTTGTTTAAAGGAACTTCAGATAAAGCAGGTGAAAGCGACAGTGGATATTCTTACCTCATTCGTCCTTTGACTGTTCTTTTGCTCCTTTAATTGCTGAAAAAAGAAATATATACTTCAAAGTCTTGATCAATGGCCCTTTTCATACCCATCCGCCTGATGCCTCTTCCTAAACTGAAGTGCCCGCCACAGGAGAGATGTTGCTTGGGATTTACTTTTATAAACTCCTGCAGGATTGTCCCTGTACGGGAGATGGCCATTCTTTCCTCAATTGCTGTTGGGGGAGTTTGCATTACACACAGAACCCCTAGAAATCACAGCTAATGTTTATCAGTCCTAATGAACTGGAGGATCTTCTGCTGTGGATGACAACTGAGAAGCAGAGCTTAGAATTTTTAAGTAGTGAATAAAAGGTCCTTAGTTCAGTCACGTTAAGAACATCCTCAAATGAACAACCGCCAATCAAAGCAAGCAGTAGAATGAGTTAGAAAGCAAACTTCAAACACTTCCTGTCCCTTGCGTCAGATGTGAAACTGGTCTAATAACCATGTGCCGTCAAAGTCAATTCTGAGTTACGGTGACCCTTTTTAGGCTTTACTAGGTAGAGAATACACAGAAGTGGTTTCCCATTCCCTTTTTCTGGGGGCAGCTCTCGGACTCTGCAGCTTGCCCAAGGCCACCCAGGCTGGCTCTTCTCCCAGGAGGCGCACAGTGGGGGAATCGAATTCCCAACCTCTGGCTCCACAGCCAGATACCAAACTCACTGAGGTATCTGCCTACTAGCAAAAGATGCAAGACCACTGATATTGAGGCATCCACAATGCTAATCTCAGGACAAAGAAGCTTCCCACATGATTTCACAGATGGATTGGGTGCTCACAAAGGATCAAAAGGCGGCAGATCAGTTTCTGACTGAGAACAGCAGGAAATCATCGGAAGCAGCAAGTGCTGGAAACAGCATCAGTAGCAGACTTCTGAATCATGATGGTGACACTGCCTAAATATGACAGATGTGGATCATGAGGATTTGGATTTCAAATCCTCATCACCACTTCCATCATCCTTGAGAAGGAGATTCTCAACTACTCCATCCAAAGGAGAACTATGTGGCCTCCATCCTTTCTGTATGAAGACCCATACATATGTAGGACATAGGAATAGAATAGGTGTATACGTTTATGTACATAAGTGAACCTAGTGGGACGTGGTGGCGCTGTGGGCTAAACCGTAGAAGCCTGTGCTGCAGGGTCAGAAGACCAGCAATCGTAAGATCGAATCCACGCGGCGGAGTGAGCTCCTGTCGCTTGTCCCAGCTCCCGCCAACCTAGCGGTTCTAAAGCGTGCTAATGCAAGTAGATAAATAGGGACCACCTCAGTGGGAAGGCAACAGTGTTCCGTGTCAAAGTCGCACTGGTCATGTGACCATGGAAAGATTGTCTTTGGACAAAACGCTGGCTCTATGGCTTGGAGACGGGGATGAGCACTGCCCCCTAGAGTTGGACACGACTGGACAAAAATTGTCAAGGGGAACCTTTACCTTTACCTTACATAAATGAACACATACGTATGTATGCATGTTTACATGGATGTCCCATGGTTTGAGCGGGGGGGCATGTGTTTCACAAGCCTGAAATTCTGGGGAGAGGCAACTCCCTTGCTCAGCTTCCATCTGTCTACAAGCACTCATATAAAGCAGAAGCAGGATGCAGCCTTTATGAAACATACAAATATCCTTCCCACACAAGTAGCTACTGCCATGTGCCATAATGCTGACTGAAAGCCACCCTCATAGTTTTCAGGGAGGGTAATATATTTAAGTAGTTTACCACTGCCGCCTCCCGTCCCATCCCCAAACAAGTGAGCATCCATGGCTGGGTGAGGATAGGAACCCAGGTCTTCTGAGTCCTAGCCCATCATCTCACCCCTTAACATCCCCTTGGTTCGACCACAAGGAGTTGCAAAGCATAAACAACTGCCATGAGGAACAGAAAGGGATTTCAGAAGTCAGGAATCCCCCTGAACTAAAACCGAACCCAACCAAACCCTCACCAGATGTCTAAATTCTGCTGACAGGCTTCCATTCGACTCCTCCATGTTCATGACTTTTGTATTTGTTCCCAATATATTAAATTTCCTGAATCTACAGTGAGAAAACGGGGAGGGGAAGGAGGTGATGAGACAGTGACATTTCTTATTTAATCAGAATGGAATGAAATAAATGTAAATGCAAACAAATATAATAATAAATTGAAACAGTCATAATAAGGCATACCCTCTAACTGTGTTTTTCTCACTGACGTCTCTGTGATGGGGGAAGAAAAAGAAAAAAGGTCAAATTATTTTGGAACAGAATAATTATTCCAGTAATTGCTCCATTTTATTCTACTATTTTTCAGCAAAGTGGTTCTATTAAATATTTTATCAGGAATCCACCAGAGAGTTTGAAAGAAGATTTTCCAATGCAAACTGTGAAAACAGGGAATCACATAAGGTCTCTCAAGATTTAGCTGAAGCAGCAGATGGGTAGAAGGAATCTTTTCTACTAAGGTTACAATCTTACGCACCCTGTCTGTGACGTCAGCCCTATTCAATTCAATGGGACTTCCAAATAGGGAAGCCTAAGAGGCCTGTATTAGTGTTTCTTAAAAACTTAAAAAACATTTACAGAAACAAGCAAGCAGGCAACAATTTTTTTAAAAAAACATCCTAAATATATATATAGTGCAACCAATGTATTTTTTTAAAATAAAATTAAATGTGAAAAATTGTACCAGCAAAAGAACACTAGGAAATTAGGGTTCCTTGTGCCTTTGAAGACACATCAAGGGTGGAAGGGAAAGTGAGTCACTCACTTGTCAAACACAACCTGCACCTTCAGTTTGTAATTCAGTTCTTGTAGCTTCACCAGCAATCTGAGGGAACAAGGAATACAAACATTACTACTTGTAGAAAGAAATTACTTCATCAGGGTTGCTACTGAAATTTCCCTGATTTTCCCTGGCCACCATTTTTCAATTTCCCTGAACATCATTCAGATATAACCACAAGTTAAAAAATGAATAGGTCGTGTTGCATTAATGCAAGCCTTAATGAAATGTTGCCTTCTGCAACTACACAAGTCTCAACTGCAAAAATATTTGTCAAACTAAGAGATTTAATATCAGCTTCTTTCAACATTCACTGCAGCAACATACGTTTTGCAATTGCACCAAAAATTACACCAAGATACAAACTTTAATTCAGAGTAAACTCTGAATGCTAACAAATGACATAAGATTTATGCTATTGTTTTCAAGGTACATAAAAATTTTATAGATGTTCTACCTAAATTGGTTTCTCTGAAGCGTAAAATTTATGCTGTTGTTTTCAAAGTACACTAAAAATTATATAAATGTTCTACCTAAATTGGTTTCTCTGAAGCCACATTATGAAGCTTAGTTTTGCAATTGCTATAATAATCAAGTGAGAAACATTTACTTCTCAAAAAAAGTCATTTTTTTCCTTTGGGGATCTGTTTGCTGTAATAATGGTTGCTGGTTGTTGATGCAGGAAGGCAGGCTTTGAAATGGAGTTTAAAATGGTGTTTTAAAATGGAGTCTACTGTAGACTCAAGGCTCTCCCCCCCACTGACTTATCTCTCTCTCCCTCTATGCTCTCTTTGTCACCCCCCCTTGGCCTTATCTCTCTCTCCCTCTGTGCTCTCTTTTTGTGATGAGGAGTTCTGTGCTGGAATATAGTAATGGCTGCTGATTGTTGGTGCAAGCAGGCTTTAAAATGGAGTTTAGACTCAAGTCTCTACCCCCTACTCAGTCTTTTTTCCCCTCAAAATCAGAAAATATTCTGTGAGGGGCTGTGCTGACTGTTGATGCAGGCAGACTGTAAAATCCAGTTTAGACTCTCTTTTTGTGATGAATTCTGTGCTGGAATAATGCTTGCTGGATTCTGTGGCTTTTTAAAAGGGGTTCTGTTTAAAACAGTGGTTCTTAACCTTTGTTACTCGGATGTTTTTGAACTGCAACTCCCAGCACTTGTTTTTAAAGGTGTTCTGTTTAGGTGTTCCCTTCCCCCCCCCTTCCTGCCCTTTTTTTTAAGCTAAGTCCATCTTAGGACAAAAGAAGAAAAATTCTTCCCCTAGTAGTAGAGGACGGATTAACTGGCTTTGCATTAATTCCTATGGTTTCTTTAAAAGACGCTTGTTTTTAAAGGTGTTCTGTTTAGAAGGTGTTCCCTTCCCCCTCCCCTTCCTGCCCTTTTTTTGAGCTAAGTCCATTTTAGGTCAAAAGAAGAAAAATTCTTCCCCTAGTAGTAGAGGACGGATTAACTGGCTTTGCATTAATTCCTATGGAACTTGCGAACGGCGCCTCTAGATAAGAACGAAAAACAGCCGGAATGGATTAAATGGTTTTCAATGCATTCCTATGGGAAATTTTGCTTCTACTTCCTAATGTTTCAACTAACGAACATTTTCTGGGATGGATTAAGTTCGTAAGTAGAGGTTCCACTGTATTTCGGTTCTAAATCAGTGCCTGGTGTCAGTAATTGACAGGATGAAGGCGAATAAACTGAAACTTAATTCATACAAGGCAGAAGTTACTTTTCGTCAACCAGAAGGCAGGTGAGGGGACAGAGATGCCCTCCGGTACCGGGTGGGATTACGCTTCCTCTGAAAAACTCAGCTTCACAGCTTGAAGGTGCTCCTGGATTCATCCCTGAGCTTGGATGCTGAGGTTTCGGCAGTGGCCACGAGTGCGTCTGCACAATTAACACTAGCCTGCCAGCTGTGCCGGTTCCTTGAGAGGTCTGATCTGGCTGCAGTGACACAGGCTCTAGTTACATCCTGCTTGAATTACTGTAACACGCTCTACATGGAGGTGCCTTTGAAGACAGTTCAGAAACTTCAACTGGTCCAAAATGCAGCAACCAAACTATTGACTGGGGTCAGTTATAGGGGAGCACATAATGCCCCTACTACAACAACTGTGCTGGCCACTAGCCCATTTCCAGGCTCAATTCAAAGTGCCGGTCATTACCTATAAAGCCCTGCACAGCTTGAGTCCAGGTGAGCTGAAGGATCGTCTTTCCCCATATGAGCTTTCTTGGTGCTTAAGCTCGTCAGAGGAGGCCCTCCTCTTGATCCCATTGCCAGCGCAGTCACAGCTGATGGGGGACACGAGAGAGGGCCTTCTCCGTGGCAGGATTTGGTCGATCAATTCCTATGTAAGTTTCCCGTAATCCAATGGGCCTACTTTAGTTGCAATTTACAACTAGATTTCAGCAGCTACATGTTTCTCTTTTGGAGTAAGAATGTTTCTTCCAAATAAAATAAAAGCATGAAAAACAGATGGGTAACAATCCCAGCACAATCACATTGTTCAAAAACAATTACTTTTTTAAAAATTCCAAAAAAAAAATTACCTCAGTTTTACTGTAAATTGCACTCCAGTCTTCAAAACCAAGGGTCTCTGAGGATGTGTAGGCATACAAGGCTGTCTTTCTACCACAAAGGAACTGGATAAGGAATAAAAAGAAGGACCTTTGCATTAACGTGAAAATAATGGCAAAAATGTCAAAATAAATCATGGAATTTCTCGCCATTAAACACACACCCCGTTTAGATCAATAGACAAGGGAGATTCCTCCTTTAAGCTATCTCAATTGACCTAAAAACACTATAACATGAATGGTTACATCCTGTATGAATGGACGCTTCAAATCAGAGCAATTGACAGTACCCTTTTCATTGTTCATCCTTTATCATAGTAAAATTATAACAGATAAGAAACAATAACAAGAGTACTGTCAACAAAACTCCACATTTGTTCAACTCAACTTTCCCCAACTTGATTGACTCTTCCTATAAGCGCTCTTTGCATCCCCAGTTATGGCCATACTGTGGGGACAACATGGATCTGGGAAGTATCTGGCAACCGTCAACTCAGCAACCCCAACCTATCACTGCTCTTTCTATGCTTTTCTAGATGAAAAGGGTGCCAGCAGAGAGACAGCAGACATAGGACTTAGAAAGCAAATACAGAAGGGAGCCAAAGATATTCCCTAGGATTTGTTGTCAATAGCTGGACACATCTACCAGTAATATACTGTTATGATTTTAAATTGTATCCTGACATGTTATTATCCGCCCAAAATGATGTTTCCTATGGGGGAATTTCACTTTGCGATGATCTGTTCCCTGCTTCGGGAACCGATTCTCGCAAAGCAATGATTTTCGGCAAGCTGATCGGCAGTTTTCAAAATGGCCACCAAGTAAAAAACATTGCTCCCCACTCTTTTCTGGGACAGATTCCTCACTGCACAGGCAGCAAAAATGGCTGTGCTATGGAGGATCTTCGCTGGACGGTGAGTTTCAAGCCCCTAGGAACACATTAATCGGGTTTTAATGCATTTCTATGGGCTTTTTAATTTCGCATTACGACGTTTTCGTTCTACAGTGATTTCGCCGGAATGAATTAATGTCGTAATGCGAGGCACCACTATATAAGACCAGATGGGCAGGCTATAAATGTAATAAATAAATAAATAAATACCAGTGGGCTGAACCAGCTCAATGTGGAAATTGCACTCTAGTCCTCCATCTTATTTGGACAGTGTCATCGAAGCTACCAACATGAATTTAACCAAACTCTGGAAGACAGTAGGGCCAGGTGTGCTCTGGTCCATGGGGTCATGAAGAGTTGGACACGACTTAACAACTAAACAACAACATCCATCCTGCTTCACCTAGTTTGCCATTATGAATGGAATGCCTGCTCTATACACTTAGGGTGTGACCACAGTGGTTAAAAAACGTGGTAAGTATTCTGGGACTTGGACAGGAAGGTTCACAGGTTATTTTTCCAGTGACCAATTGACATGAAAAGAAATGCAAACCATCCAGGAGTCCTCCATCCCCCATCTGTAGTTTTGGCCTCCCACCCCTGAGGCTTCTTTTTTTAAAAAACCAGATCAATTCACATTGGTTCAGACTATGCGATCATTTGAATTGATGCAGAAAACAATCCTTCTGTCTCCGCTGTTCCCTTCCAGGCACAATTTGTCATTCCTTTGTTGTTTTTCCAGCAGTGCCCCTCTGGCAGCAACACAGCCCTTTTCCTGTTTACTTTATTCTCTGGCTTTATTCCATGTGAGAACCACATTCTTGCTGAAGCCCAAAGATGCTATCAGGCTCCATATGTGAACTGCTTGTTGGACCGCTGTCTCAAGGGAATCTCCATTCATAACTCAAATGTTTCTCTGTCCTGCACTCCAGGCTCTTCAGCAAGCCTTATACAAGCCACACACTTGTCCCCTACAGACTTAGCTGACAAAGACACTTTTGCAATGGTGTGTGTGTGCGTGTGGAAACAACCCCAAAGACTGGCCATGTCAACCTTTGGGAGAAAAACCTGAAAGAGGTTGTTTCTCAGTCTTTCCCGCCCCCCATCTTTTTTAAACAACTTGCTGCTACAGTGCAAATCATACACACAATAGAGAATAAGAAAAGGAAACTTCTTGAGGAGGAAATTGGCATCCTGCCCTTGTTTTCAGCTCCTGAAGGGCGACAAGACTGCTATGCTAACAACCTGCAAACAAGGCTGTTTAGCCCATTTCCTCCTCTCTCCATGTGTGGCCAGTTAATTCAAACAGATCCAGGGAAACCAAACTCCCTGGTGCAACTTCACAGCAAATGCATTTGCATTTGCCTCACTGTGTAGTTGCACCTTAAAACCGAGAGCAAGAACAGCATTGTTCACCTTTGGATAAGTTGCTTGAAGAGAGCCTGTGTCCGTTCATACAGCACTTTCTTTTGTTGCGGGTTCGGGTCTGCCTCATAGGTACATTTCTGCTTCAGATCCTCTAGTTTTTTAAGCTGCTGACGGATTTGCAGAAGACTCTCAGCTACTATGGTAAACCTGCCATCACAAGACAGTTAAGAATTAATTGTGCAAGACTCCTTACGGTCATTGTGGACATGGAAGCTAGCAGACTTGGAATCATTCGTTTATTAGCAATTATGTTACCTTTCTCTTTATTATGTATTAGTACAGTACCTTAGAACTGGAAGACATCCTATGGATCATTGAGTACAGCCTGTCTTAAGGAGGCACAGTGAGAATCAAACTCTCAACCTCTGATTCTCCAGATGCCTCAACCACTGAGCAACCCAGCAGTTCTCTATGTGCACCCTGCCTTTCTCTCCAGGAACTCAAGACAATATATATCACTCTCTTCTCTTTCACATTATATTCACAATAACTGTGCAAGGTTAAGTGATTGCCCCGCCCATCACCCAGGGGAATAATGACTCACTGAGAACTAGAAACGGGAGCTCCCAAATCTCAGGCCATCATTTTATTCTAAATTAAGTAATATGTCGCCACCAAGGTCATTGTTAAGGACCACAAGGCCACCCCTGAATCTTCCCAGTGGAAAGAAAATCCCCTCTTTTGAGGGGGCAAGAGAAGAGGACAAGACCCCCCCTCACAAAACAAACCCCTTCCCACAGAAATGAGAAGGGCCCATCTGTTTATTTAAAGAAAATAGCAGCAGTTCCCACCCATTTCTGGCCCAGTGTGACCAGCTGTGGATTTGGAGCATGAATGTATCCTACAGTGCTCTACCCACTCCAGCCAAAATCTTACTACATACTTAATACTTCTGGAATCATAACCCAAACAGCATCAAGCTGGGTGGAGAACTGGTGCCAGTCAACACATCCTTTTTTCTGCTCATGTGCCAAGTCACCTGCAACTGCTGTGTGACAAGAAAAGCAAGCACCGAGTTCTTAAGCAACGCCTGTTTGCACAGCCGGTATCCCACCAAAACGCTGCTGTGCTAAGGGTCTAACCCCTTCCCTTTCGTCCAGGGATGGCGCATCACATCCCTTTCTGCATGCGCTAGCGAGCCTAAGATCCAACATTTTTTTTAAAAATGCCGGTTCCCCTTCCAAAGTTCACATTCTCCCTCAAGCATCCCAATGCACCTGCTGCTGTTTCTTCAGCCGGTAACCATGGCTGGGCAGCTGAGCACCTGCAGATACCGAAGGTAAACAATTGCCTCTGGTTTTATTACCTCTGGCATGTGCAGATCTGCAGTCCTGCTCTGACAGGAAAGGGAGGCCAAACCGGCAAAGCTGCCAAGAGCAGCCTGGGTCAGGAAGGATACTTCAGACAGCCGAGAAGGAAAAGCAGTGAGGATTTTTTTTCTTCCTGTCAGAGCAAGATTTCACTTCAGGAGCTCCTCAGAGGGGTTGCTTTTATGCC